ACATTTTCTTCACTTAATAGAGCACCTTACTGACAGACGATCGACAGTCAGTACCTTATGTAATCAACGCTAGCATCATTAATCGATAAATACGTTGTCACTGTGGTGTCTACAGCGCTAAAACAGCGAAACTAGTGTGCTTTACTGCCTAGTGAAAGTGAAAGGTTAACACCATGCACACAGCTGCATAATAAATAAATATTTGAAAATTGTGTGAGAGCTTATAATCAGAAAAGATGCGGTTTCTGCCTGTAACTGAAAAGTTGCCCTTGGTGGCCTTGAATATAACAACTGCCTTCACATCACGTGAGTGAAGATAATAACAACAACGAATAACAGTCATATTCGGACTGCCAATGTAATACCCTAGTATTAAGTCATCCTTATGATATATAATTCTATTTTCTTTAATAAAACTTCAAGTCAAACAAACAGACGGAAATGATTGTACCCGCTCTACTTGTCGTTCTGATGAAGTATGTATTTTAAAATATATATTCGTATTTTGTACATGCACATTCTTTGCTAAAATTGTAATACCCTTTCTAAAGTTTGCAAAAATATACACAGCAAGGTCGTATACATCTGAAGGAATCCAGTTTATCAATTTGCCAACTTACAAAGACCTTAAAGACCTTACACCGCGCCATGCGATTGCAAAATGGTAGCTGAGCTATTACCTCTTGAATGTACACATAAAATAATCAAACAAAAAACGATTCTCGCTCCGCGTTGGTTATGTCGGCCAGAATGCTAATATGTAGTTTTTGGAAACATTACCAATGTTAGCACGATATAACGCGCACCACTTATACTGGACTGTATGTGTCCTTGCCGCAATTGCACACCCAAGACCCATGACGGTGGCATAATTATTTAGCAAAGCCTGCCTTTCAAAATTTTTGTGTCGCAGTTACAACCTTGAATGGCTGGTTCTCATTGTGGCTTCAACATGTGTAGATTGTACCACACAGTTATACTTATATTGTGCACAATGGGTAATGCTAATAAAAAGTCAGAAAATACTGGAATTCCATAATATATATAAGATGTTCGATGTTAAGATGTAACAGTGATTTTATAAAAGAGTAAAATAATATCGCTAACATAAATTTTTACAAAAAAAAAAACAACAGAGATTTGATTTATTACTTTTTTCACTTTTTGAATGTACAAATCACTTTTAAAAATATACATATAGTATGTAAAAATAAGGTTATTATGATAGTTAAAAAGAAAGTAAATAGCTGTAAAGGTATATCTGTCAAAACAGATATGTATGACAATGATGCATGGCATATGTGACTATCTATTAATTATAATTGCCCCATGCTCTCGAACTTATATAAATGTATATACCGTATATGAATGCATATGGATTTGGTAATTAAGAGTAAGTGAATAGAATGTCGGGTACACAGCCTGCTCAATCAATTACAGAGGCCCAGTGTGAAGATACCTTAGTTCACATGTTACTGTTACGGGTGCCCGCCAGTGTCAGTGAGCGTATGTTAAGACCAACGAGCCGTAAATGAACCACGCATAAAATAATCATAAAAATTAACAGTTTTACGCAATCCCAACTGGGCATTCAACCATTAGCTACAAGCCGTGAGTGAAAAAACCTGGATGCAGAGTCTTGGGCAGAGACAAGTGTTAGAGTGTTAAGTAGAGCAGACGTGTCAGTCAAGGCAACTTGCTATTATTTCACGATACGATTTATAGAGATGTCAAAAGATGTTATATATTTTGTTGAACATGTTGAGAGAGCGAAGCCATGCTCTTTGCACATTGAATGTTGTCTGCAGACAGTTAATGTGTACCTGTTGTGTGGACACAATGAAATAAAAAGAAAAGTAATTCAAGGTGAGTTGCGCCATTAAAAATAAATTGCAAACGATCTCATAGGAAATAGGATTGGGAAGTTTTGGAGCAGCGGGGTTTCGTATGTGTGTATGAGTGCTCAAATTTTTTGGCTGATACTCTATTCCACTCATGGTAGCAAGCAAATTGGATTCACTTTTTATCATTGTTCAAAGGTAAAAAGTCATAGACCCTCACCCTTTTCAATATTTGCACTACATAGGCCAATTCAAAAGATTTAATATATACGTGTACGTGTTCAAACTTATGAATATTCGTCGGGCGTTCGCATAGTTTGTTGCCTAAGTCTTTTGTTGCACTCAGCAGTAAGTGGAAAAACGAAAGTGCACACTGACTACTTGCGTTGTAAGCTGTGTTACGCCACATGTGTGTATGCACATATACAGTACTCTCACATTACATTAGTTAAAGAGTAAAAGCAAGTCACGCTTATGGCTTGTGGCTTGTTGCTTGTCAACAGGTCTAATAATTAAATGACGCCCTTCCGGATTTTCAACATTTTCCCACGGTGTGCATTGACGCCATCTTCAGTTGTGTATTATCTGAATACCTGTCACTGAAACGTTTTGTGAACTTTTAGTCTAAGTTTGAATTTGACATTGACATTTATTCCCAAAAAAAAGGATCAGCAATTTTCGAAAAGTTTAAAACTAGATATCCTTGCAAATATATATTTCTATCGGATATCCTGTTGTAAATTTGCAATGGTACTTTATATGATATCGTTAAAAATATTGTTCCGTTTAAATCAAAATTGATATGCAAATAAATTTATTTGTCCGTACAAATGTGCTTACTTTCATAATCATGAAATTGCTGTATACTAATTAGCTGGCAGTGGATTTGGATGTTTTTTTGTGACACCGAAATATTATACTTGTGCTTGGATCGCTTTCTTATTACGGATCGTACATTTTAATTTCAGCGCCAATAAGTAATTATCCGATTGACAATAAACAAAGAAAACTGACAAACTACTTACAATCAACAACACTAAAGTCTTGGAGTCTAGATAACACTAAAATAAAAAAAAACCCCTACACCTAAAAGATTTTTGGAAAATGAAAGTTGAATATGCAGTGCACCACCGCACATACTAGTTCAATAAAGGCAACCAAAACGAAAGAAAGAAAAAAATCAAAACGTGCACATAATTTTAGATTGTTTTTGCTCATTTATTTTTGTCATGCTTCCAATAATATTTATTTATTTATATACAAATCTTTTATTAGATATGTTGTAATATATATATATATATATATATATTATGGTGGTTACATTCTAATTTCTTTTCTGCTATGCCTGTATATTGAAATATATGTATATATTTGCATATATTTACATATGTATGTAAATTTAGTTTTTGCATATTTCTATTAATTGTTAGTTCAGAAAACATTTAAGTGAGCCGTGTTGCAAATTATTAACAGTTATTAAACCCGCAATTTGTTTGGTAACATACACACACTCACTAATAAAAAAAACACTTTCAATTCGTTCATGGCACTCAAGTCGCAGTGTTGTTGTGTGCAATTAATATCTGTGCCATAAGCTGGCAAGCTGATTGGCATAGCTTACATAAGCCTGATATCTTATGTTTCGTTGAGTGGACAACGCAAGCTGACCAATCGCTACGGTTCGTTGTTATGCTTGAAAATTATTATGTTACATATTTTTCATATGTATGTATATATTCATTCATGTTGGGTAAATAGACCAAGTAAGCCAGCATGTCAACGTACATATTTACATTGATATTTATATTTTAGCTTTAAGCGACCTTCAGTGACAAATGATTAATTATATGTTTTATAAACAGCATGTTGTCAGTTTTTCTTGACGCAACAAGTCTAAGGAAATTTCGACAAGTAATATTTTTCCCAATAATTTTTAATTATGGTCCTGCACATATATCATTTCTTTACAGATTTAAAAAATCTGTTTTACAAAAATATTTGGAGCGAAAATCATTTAAATCTAGTTCACTTTGTACTCATATCTTCACGCCTGTTCACATGAACATGTAAAATTTCATCATCTGAAAATTCGAATTAAGGCTGTGGATTTAAATATGTTATGACTGTAAAAGTTGCAATTTCTTAGGAAACAATTTTTAAGTGAGCTTCGACCAAATAAGTACACATCCTATAATACATTCAATCCTTTCAGTCGTGGCGCACCTCTTATCGTTGGGCATTCTTAGCTGAGCCTATTGAACATATTCTGAAATGCTGTACTTAAATATGATAGCCTGTCATCTATACGTAATAAAATACAGGTTATCATTTTGCTATCACGCACATGAATTCAGAATATGCATGTCTTCAAAATAACTCGCTAAATATAACCAAGAACAAAAACATCCCATAAGTAAGTAACAAATATCGTGGTCCCTAACCATTGCAAATGTAGAAAAATCGAAAGCTGGTTTTAAACATTTCAATCGACAACACACTTAATTCAGATTTGGTATATTGTATATTTTATTAATATCAAAACGAGTTTCGTTCCTTCAGCATTTCTGTCTGTGACTAAAATACATTACCATAACAAAATGTCTACAATTTTTAGGCGTCATTTTCCATGTCAAAGATACAATGAATAAAGTCATGGTGAGCTAACTAAGAGTTAAATTATGTATTCGCCAACTTAACATAACATGAGCTGTTTCTTTCATTGACGCCATTTGAGTGATAGTGGTTGTTTTACTAAAAATGCATGTGTTTATTCAATGCTACCCTTTATGATTACGGGCATTTTTTATTTTTTACTCAAAAAAGATTTTCTTAAAAGACTGGTGAATTATTCGACTGCTCGACTGGTGAATTATTCAACACAATTTAAAGGTCAAAATGATTGAGCTTGTGAGATTTATATAAATCTAACAGTGGCTAAGTGTTAATATTAGGCTTAAGAAAAATGCTTTATCTGGTTCAGCTTAAGAACTGTTAGAACAATCTATACTCTTCCAGATAAGGTGACTCAGCTATCTTGCTATTCAAACACAGTTCAGTTGAGAATAACTATCAAGTCGACAATGTCGAAGATTTCTGAGTAACCAGTTTGTGTCTTAAGTCATTTGATTTTTTTGAGCATGATGTCAAATGGCAACTCACCTGTTTCGAATAACAATAGACATAATCCCAGAAGCCAGTACAAACTTCGTCGATGTGTTGAAAACTGCATGTTGCTGCTGTTATTGCGCATCACTGTAACTGTAACTTCAAATTTTCTTGTTGTTGTAGTTGCGTTTTTTAGGTTAATTCACAGAATTTGAAATACCAAAAATGCACAGGCCGACAGTCAAACGGCAGCAGCAGCCAAAAAAAAAAATTCCAGTCTCTACTGCAAACAAAGGCTAGATATATTTTCGTGTGTTTGTAGATATGTAGACACGTAAGTAAATAAGAAGACAATGTTGTAATCTTTCAGTTTAGATTTTTTTCGTTTTCAAGCTTTTGTGTTACAGTTTTCTTTAACTGCTGGCTGGCTTTTTTGTTGGCTGCGACTGCACTTTAATTCAGTTTTGTATCTGCTGCAACTGTTGCTGCTGTAGCTGTTGACTACCCCCTATAATTCGCATATTCGTTAGATTTTAGCACACACAAACTTAAATTTCAACACTTGGTTTTTTCATTAGTTTCAAAAAACAATTTTTCGGATTTCTTCTCTGACACGCTGCAGTGACCAACAGTTTCTAAGAAAACCGTTAAAGATACATATGTATATACGTATATATATATGTATGTGTTATTAAAACTAAAGAAACTAAATCGGTCAGTTAGTAGTCAGATTTTAATTTTGCACAAGCTTTTCACTGTCGCAATACAAAACCGGAGCAGCATGTACAAGCGAACAAGTCAATGTTTGGCGAAGAAAATGTGAACCGAAATAAAATAAACAAACAACAAAACTTCAGAGTTTTTGTTTTTGTTGATGTTTTTCTTGGCAAAACTTTCTTTTTGACGTAAAGCCAGTCTGAATACGTTTGTTGTAGCTTTTTCGCGCACACACGCGCGTTTCTTGAACTATAAAATGCAGTTGTGGCTGCTTTCTATACGTGGGTTAGTTGACTGCAATAGTCACGAATTACGGCTCGTTGCTTGGGAGCTCATTGACACATTGATTGGTTGCATATCTGCATGTGTATGCATATTTATTTAGTGTGTTGAAACTTGGTTTTTGAACTTTGCACAAGTTGTTTTTAGGCATCCAGCTGATTGCAATATTCCAATTTGGAGAGTCAACAAAAACTTCTTACCGTGCGCTCAAGGAAACAACACGTCCTAACTGTAACAACTAAACAACGCGACTGTGCGCAGCAAGTGCTTGAAGTCAGTCAGCTGGGCCATACCAAAGCCAGGTTTCGACGCTAAGCTTGGCATGAGCTCTGGCAAGCTGTTAGTTAACAGTGCCACTGTTATAGTTACTGTTATTGTTGCTGTTGCTGTTGCCATCTAACGGCATGGTGGCTTTGACGGTGTCTCTTAAGCTTTTGAAAGTAAGAGTAAAACCTATCTTACTCACAAAAGCTTTGCTAGACCCATACATAGAAAAAAAATCAACGTAAAATAATAATTATCTGAACTTAATAATTTATTTCAAATTGTGACAAAATTTGACATCGGAATAAACTCTCTGTTTTTAGATTTGAGGGAAACTGGTGTGCTCATCGAGGAAATGAAATAAAATAAGCTGAATATATTATGATGGTTACTTACTGAAATTAATATCAATTCATTTGCTATACCTGTACACGATCAATCTCGTCCTTCTCTTCCACGTCAGTCAGTTACTAACATTATGCGCATAGGCTAACCCTTTGTTAAATTCAACGTCATTGTTAGGCACAGAATTGAAAGTGAAACCGTTGAAAAGCAACGGCAACGGACAAGAACTGGGCCGAACCACTAGACCAAAACCAAATCTCACAAATATTTAAAACGCAAATAGACGACTTGCTAATAAGACTGGTTGTATTTAGATACATACACACAATTAAAATGAAACCCAATGTGATTACATACCCTGTACGAGTAATGGGTGAGCTCGGTTGCGATTAAAGTATTGAAATCTGTGCAGCTGTCAAACTAAGACATATAAATTTATATCTGTGTATATATGGATTTAAATATAGCCGATAGAAATTTCTATAACAACTCTGCCGACTTCCCTTTTTTGGTAAGTACGTATATTTTTTTATAGAGTTATTTATGTCAGGGCGTTACACATTTCGCGATAAAGATATAATAAGGTTATAAATGATTCTTGCAAAAATTTTGCATGGTTTTCGACTTTGGGCTATAAATTAATAAAAATAAAAACAAATGTGCCAGTTCGAATAATCAGCATTTATACCTATTATTATTATTATTACTAGGGGGGAAAACTGCACCGCGACCTATTTGATATATTCCATCAGCCCCCACTCCCGCACGAATACGAGGATTTTTGTTGGGTTGAGGTCTTCTATGTCTTTGCACTTCAAAACAAGCGCCTCTAGAAGGCTGCTTCTTCTTCTAGCTAAGGCGACACACTCTGCCAGGATGTGTGAGGATTCCTCCTCTCTTTCACAACACCTGTACAGGTCGCTACTATATATACCCAGTTTTGCTAGGTGACTCCTTAGTCTACAGTGTCCTGTCAATAGACCGGTGAGTATCCTAAGGCTGTTCTTTCCCATGGTTGTAATTTGTTTAAATCGTACAAAATTATAACCACCTAGGAGACATCTGGCTTGTTGGAGTCCCACTGCCTCCGACCAGCTCTGATGCCGTCTCTGCCTCTCCTCGTTTCTAAGTTCTAGTCGTATAGTGTGTCTCCCTATGCCACAATACGGTTCTGGTCCTGTTAGGGGCCTTCCTGCCCCCATTCTTGCTTGCTTGTCAGCCGCCTTGTTTCCTGCTATGTCCCTGTCGCCCGGGACCCATCGTAGGGTGAGCCTGTTATGAGTCCCGAGTAGGTCTAGCTTTGAACGAACTTCATGGACTACCTTTGATGTTATCTTGGTCCCCATTATAGTTTTCAATGCTGCTTGACTATCGTGCTATATTGAAGTTCGCGCATTTTTAATGAACTTAAGATCATTTTCCTTTGTCTTGCCTCTTCGCAGATTAGTGGAATTTACAATCAATGTGAAATGTCTGAGTTATCCAACTGACCAAAATTTGGAGATACACATTTGGGCCAAATGGTATATGTTGTACCTAAAATCTTTTTGAAATTTCAACAAAATAAGTTAGTCACAATTATCCAAGTATACAAATACGTCACAGTTTCCCCATAAAGATATTATGTTTAATGCCCAATTTCATAAGCGTATTATTATTATTGCGCCCTAATGTCTTAATTACAAAATTCAACTAACAGTTGATGCTCAAAATCGTTGTATCTACTTATAAATGTTTTCGTCAGTTTCGGTTCCATATGCCATTGCAAAAAACAAAATTACTGGCAGTGCCACTTAAACGCTTGAAGTTCGAGTTGCACATAATCGGTAATAATATATTAAGACTTGCCAATCTTGATAATAATGGAAGATAGTATACGTATTTATATATGTTTGTATATGTGTTAATACCCTAAATGTGTGCATGATGTATATTCGCTTATGTATGATTATTCACATATTTTAACATTTTTATGAAGCAATTTTTAACCCAAATAAAATATACACCTTGTCACGCTCCTAGACTACAGATATTCTTACTCTATGGCCTTATTTGTAGAATACTTTATAATAGTGTGATTTTAAAATGAGCGAGCAATAAGGCAATAATTGCTTAACACGGACTGGTGTTATGCGGGGCATGGAAGTCCCTGGTAACTTACTTAAAGCTATACACAATCAATTTAACTACATATTGAGCATTGACAAAAATACCGAAAATATGTGTGTGTGTATATTAAACCGTTAAGTATTTAACCTTGATAACTTCCCTATTAATGTTTTTACTGAACATTGTATTGTAAGCTCAAAAATAAACATACATACGTACACACTTATACTCACATACACACAAATCCAAATTTGTAACGGCCTTCAATGCAAAAATTCATTGTATCTATGTACTTGCTGTGGTCGAAATACTGATCTATTGTACTCATACTTTAGCCAAAAATGGGAGTGTTGCATTTAAGAAAAACTTACCATCGAATGGCCCTGATCATTTAAAAAGCTGTAGTGAAATAAGCTTAATAACTCAGGAACTTGAAGTACATCTCTTTTCTTTAATATTTTGAATTGGTAATTCAATTTTACGTTTTATGAATTTCACATTTTACTTTAAGTCCATCGTATGTATTTTATTGTAAGTTATGCTTCTGAAAATATTAGTACAATGCTAAATAATCCTGCTTCCCTTCAATAAATCTTAAATTGGATGTTTAACATTTCAGAGTCTTACGAAATTAAATTACTATTTTGATTTAAATTAATTAAAAACGTATTTGCGTTATTAGTAGAAACAAGCTGTTTAAAAACTTGGAAAAACTAAATAAATTGGAAATAATGTGCATGTTGTAATATGTATGTAGGTATTTACAGACTAGGAATATACTGCCTGTTTTATTACACGATATTATTACTAGACTAGTAATGTGAGAAAAATATGAACAGTGCTCATATTATGTACATAAACTTGCTTCAAATTCCCGTTTAAAATTAGACTCACCCACTCACCAAGGCAGCAAAGCAGCAAAGTGAGCGTTTCAGCCACAGTTAAACAATTCAAAATCAGAACAGTGTCAGAAACAACAGCAACACCAAAAGCAACAGCAGCAGCAACAATGTGAATGCAACGACAACAAAGGTAGCAACCGACTTGCTGACCTTCTCCACGCCTTGGAGTGACTGTTTCGCAATCAGCGACTGGGCGGCTTCTCAGCGCTACAGTTACTGTATTGGGTCCCATAGAAGTATTGGTGCCGGTAATGCAATTTTTTTATGCATATGGACGCAGGCGAACGAGCACGACCACGCCATTTAAATTGTAGCAAGAAGTAACTAGAATTTACGACAACTTGCTAATACTTTTATACATATTTTCCATAGGAACATATTACGCCAGCTGCACACAAAACCCAGCTGACTAACCAAGCCTTGCTTGGGCACTTTTTATTGTTTCGAATTTAGATAGTATAGTACTGTTCCTGAGACTGACTTGCACTTATTAGTTTCGAGTGCCATAAGTATATTTTGTAGCCTGTATGTACATGAGAAAATAAGTTTTATATATAAGAGAATCAGGAAGCTTGATAATATTGTCACCCACTGTAGCTCAATATAAAAAAACTAAATGCTCAGGAGCACAAGTTAAAACCGGATTGAAAACAAAACTTTACCAAAGTTCAACTACAGTTTGCGACAAAACATTCGACTTTTTCAATTTTAACAAGACACATATGTATTTCTGACTACGCCCTTATTATCTATTATTGAAACATTTATATTCTTTAAACTTGGCCAGTTATTTCTTACGATTAATTCTTAGTAAGGTTTTAAGTTCATATTTTAATTACTTAACTTCTAAGCCTTGATATTAATTATATGCCAACATGCACAAAAAAGGACAAACATATATTTTAAGCACAGTAATTATTCTAACAGGTATTTTGTACATAATACATTTTTCGAGTTTTCTTCTTTATTATGTTACATGCTTAATTAATTTAACTTCAAATTTATTCCATAATACTCACCAATGCACCGTCGATACAGTCGTGAAATTACGATGGAGCTTGGGACACAAAAGGTAATCACTATTTGACTACCAGACATGGCTTCGAAATCACTAACACAATTTAATGACAGCAGTCAATTTCATTGTATATGGAAGCACATAGTAAGATAAAAATATTCAACACGCCTGCTCAGTATATCTTGCTCGTAGATTTATTCAAAATATACTTTCAAATAATAGTTAAATCAAATAAGAGCAAAGCAACATTCGCAAAAAATAAAACAATTTATTATTTTTGCTATACCTAAAAATAGCTGTGCTCTAATGGGCACTTGTAGCACTCACTTTGCCTTTTTTCCTAAAAGTAAAAGTGCTTGAAATGAAAATTTAGCTACTTTTTCAAACAATTAACAATCGACACACGAACTAGAAGTATTCATCGCTGAAGTTAAATGTCAATAAATCGTCAATAGTGCATGCAGCTGTGACCTTAATATTTTCTGCTATAAATTGGCATTTATTATTTGGGAGACACACCTAGGTTATATGGCTTGAGTTGGTTTACGTTTCAAATAATTAACAATGAAACCGCATCATCACAGTCATTTTCATTGCGATTTGAATACATTTAAAAGTACAATAATTAAAAAAGTTTGTTCAACAATTATTGGATCAGCGATACCTCTGCAAATGACTTACGTTCCATAGTTATACAACATTACAATTTTATTTATAAATTAGGATTTATACGTTCTTGTATATACAAATATTTTCGCGTTTCGTTTTGACTTGAGTCATTTGCGTACATGAGTAACTGTGCCAATTCGACAAGCGGTTATCAACGTTATATAACGCCGTTTAATTATCAAATACAATTCGACTTGCCGTGTTTGGCCTAATTGATGCTGCAGTGAATGCAGTTGCGAGAAAGAAATTTTAGTTGCTTTATTTTTCTTCTTCTTATTCTTACGTACATATTATGAATTTTACGAAACAACTTTTCAGTCACGGTGCTCATATTCATGTACGTACATGTATTCTGTAAAATAAAGTGCTTTTAAAACAACTTTTTTTTAAAAACATCTTAAAGAAACTCCTCGCATCCCACCAACCCGTCATTCGTATTATAGTTTCCATTTAAGTGTTAGCCCCAAAGTATGCCATATATTTTGCTAGGGCTTAGATGCGAAGAATGTACTGAATATGCAAACATCTTAATTGGTCGCAGTAGCTGTAGACTTTCTTAGCACTGCTGATAAAATTCAGTAGCTTTTTCCTTAACATTATTAACTTTTATATTTTGCTTTCAAAATATTTTTAATTAATATTGCGAAAGTAATTTGATACTAACTTTCTGCCGAACGATATTCAGTCATATCCAACAAAGATACACAAATACACACGTTTTCTGCTTCGATTGCCAGCAAGTCTACTAAATCATTTTATAAATCGCACCAAATAAAATGAGTAAGAGTACTTTTCAGGAACTGGCAAGATTTGAGTATTGCATACTTTCATGCACCACAATTTAAGCACGTCCAGAAATATTTGAACGTACCGTTTTTCAAAATTTAAAGTTCATTGCTTTCCTGTGCAATCCTAAAACAACTTTAAAAAAATCATACAGGTTCAGATGTTGCCTTCATATTCCTAAAATGTTGTATTGGATTTTTTTATTGTTAGTTTCCTTTTTTTATTGCATACTTTAGAAAGTAATTATTAGCAAAACTGTATTGTCCGTGTATAGGTATATTAAAATCTTACCCTGTTGTGGATGCATACACCATATTTGTACCCATTTTTACAAATGAAATGCACAGAATATTTATACACCTTTGTCTATAAAAAGACACGCACATACACATATACATACAAAGTACCTACATATATACATATGAAAATACATATTAGGTTACTTAATGTCTCTTTGATCCCTAAAATGTCACTATACAAATGTGCAAAATGCTGAACGCAAAACATAATACAGCACCAGATAAATAGATACATATACATATACATATACATAAACATAAGCATATACATATACATATACATATACATATACATATACATATACATATACATATACATATACATATACATATACATATACATAAGCATTTACATACACATATACATATACATATACATATACATATACATATACATATACATATACATATACATATACATATACATATACATATACATATACATATACATATGCATATACATATACATATACATATACATATACATATACATATACATATACATATACATATACATATACATATACATATACATATACATATACATATACATATACATATACATATACATATACATATACATATACATATACATATACATATACATATACATATACATATACATATACATATACATATACATATACATATACATATTACCGTATTTATTAATCACATCAATACATAGACAATGCAGATATACATTCATAAATATGTTAATTTTTTCTTATAAACAAAGATTTTTGGCCAAAAAGAAAAAACGCATGAAAGGAATGCTATACAAAATAATAATTAATATTCGAGTGTGTGTGACTTTGTTAAGTGGTGTTGGTGCGTGTCGGTGAGGCAAGAAAAAACGTAGAGGAGAAACAGAAAGAAAATAATGATCACATACACACACAAACCCATACACACACACACAAATGAACACACAAGCTGATAGTGAATGGTGTGCGCAAGCGAACGCAAAACCTTCTAAAACATACGTTACGAGAGAGAGACGAGAACAAGTTTAATACAAAAATAAAAAACCCCACTAAAATACTACAATTGCAGAGAATAAAACCAAGTATAGCATGTATACATTCATAAATATTCATTATATACATATGTGTAGACGTACATATGTTGTATGTTTGTATATACACACATACACACAAAAAATGTATGTATGTATCAGCACAATTCCACAGACACATCGGAAAACTGGCTGTACGCCATCAAAATGTCTGCAACACAGACACACACCCATATGAGCACACAAAAACAAAATATCATGAACACGACAACGTAGAGTATAAAAAAAAATACGTGTGCATGTATGCGTGAGCGTGTGTGTGTATGAATGTAATAAAAACAACAGACACGCACGCACACAGTGAGCGGAGTCAACGCAAAGCGTTCACAACAAAAACGACGTGGAATTGCAGTGCGAGTGTGTATGTGTGACAAGCCGTCGAAGAGTATATGTATATGTTTTTTTCATTTTTCTTTTAGTTTCTTTTCGCTCGTTCGTCGGAACGCAAGTGTTGGTGAAGCTAACGTTTTATGTAAAAAGGACTGACCACAGAACGAATAAAAACTTTTCGTGTCAAGCAAAATATATTATTTTTATATTCTATAAAGGCAAGAGCTAATAACTAATATTGATAAACAAATCACTCTCTCTCTCTCTCTCTCTCTCTCTGCTATTAAAACAATCGAATGTATGTTACAAGGAGCGAAGAAGAAATCAAAATACGCTCTCAATTTGAATGTGGCTCTCTTTTGATCATTGGTAGCTTCATATTCAATTCTCATTGCAATTGTGTTGTGATTAGTATTGTATTTTGCCATTTTGTGCGGGCTCTCTCTTTTCTCTCTTTCTCTCTTACGCGCTCGCGACTTTCACGAAACTGTAATGGTACTATAAAAATAAAAATAAATATAGTAAACAAGGCAAGCCACATTGTATTGGTGCACGTGTGTGTAAGCGTGCGTGTGTGTCTTGTGATTGTGCTTGTGTGCAAATTGATGACAACGAATCGTGTGTAAAGCGAACAGTGCGTAAATCGAGTGCAATGAAATAAGTTTGACGACTTTGCAGCATTTACAAAAGAGTGCAATTAAAATTAAATATATGTGTATGTGAATGCATATAAAATACACACATCCAAGCAGAATCTGCCAACTATTCATAAATTTTATCTCAAGTCAAGTAAGCTAACTAATAATAAACAAAAAATAAATTTATAGTTGAGTATTTCTTCCCATGTCTAGCATGTCGAATCTAACGGATTAAAACTGAAGTTACGTTTTCATCGATATCATTGATCAAAATGGATGCACAATTCGAACACCTGTGTCGTATTTGTGCGGCCAATACTAAATGCAAAAACAATTCTGTGGTCGAAAGTGTGTTTATTTTCAAAACAAATGGCCTGAAGGACAAAATAGCTCGACATCTCTTTCTGAATGTAAGTTAAACGTTGCATTAAATTAAATTTTGCTTTAATCTAGCTTTTTGATGTACGTGCATACAAAGTGATGTACAATTGTCAATGTTTCGTGTAGAAATACGTAAAGCGAATAATAACGTCACGTAAAGAATTCTAAACTTATGTGTGTATGTATGTACACATGCATACGTTCAAATGTATGTATGTATGTACACATGCTTACGTTTCAATGTATGTTTGTGTGCTTGCGCTCGTGCAAAACAGTTATAAGAAAGAGGCAACTAAAACAAGCCTACACTCAAAGAAAAAAATAGTGTGTGTATGTGTTGATGCATACTAGTGTGTTTGTGTATTATAATCTGGTATTTGCGTGTGGGCGGTTTGAACAAAGTAGGCAAAGAAAATTTTTCTAGCAAAAAGCGAAAAAAGGCAACGCTCGCAAAAGAATCTCGTTTGGCCATTTCAATACAAATGAATGCGGCTCATGTCAGTGTGCGTGCGTGTTTCTACATATATATGTATGGTTATGTGTATGTGCATTTTTGTATGTATATAGGTTTGTATGTGCAATAGCAATTTAAGAAAAAGCTGAAAGGTAAAAAACATGATGCGTGAGTTTTACCTCCTGCATGCATGAAGTGGTTTTCTTCTGCTTCTCACATCGCATGTATAAGCGCACATAATTATACACGTAAATATTTAAATATTTATGGTGTGTGTTAATATATAAACAGATATATTTGATTAGCTAAAGTCTAAGAGATATGCTTAATGCTAATCTATTCTCTACACTTTTAGGTTGCTGAAGAAGATCCCCTGCCAAAAGTGCTCTGCAAATCCTGTTATCGTCAAGTGGAAGCGACTGCCTCGCTTTCTAATATAGCCAAGCACACGCAGCAAGTGTTTCGGGATTTTTTGCTTAGCACAGTGGTATGAAATTAGTTTTATTTGCCTTAATTTTTAGTATATACAAATATATTTATACCTTTTTTCGCCTCAGCCTAAATATGCGCGTCAAGCGACGGAAGCTCTTCATAATGAATCTCCAGTAGCGACAGCATCAACTCAGGACATTAGTGAATCCAACAACAGCAACAGGAACAACAATGCAAAACGCTATTACAGCAACTTGGACAATAATGAAACCTTCCATCCGATATTGCTGACACGTCCGCCGGAGTCGAGCGTCGCACCCAGTTTGCAGCAGAAACACGACGATGTTGTCATCAGTTGGACCAATAAAGACATTGAGCTGCGACAACAACAGCAGAAACAACAACGCAAACAACCAACTGCTGCAACTACGGATCACACCAGCAATCGGAGCAGCATTAAAATGAACAATCTAATGATCCCGGCTCGGCGCAGCAGTGTGTTTGTGGATACGCGTTATAGTTCAGCACCAATGTCGATAGCGCAGCGTTCGATGCAACTGCCGCCATCCTTGGCACCCATTCATCCGGATGTGTCGCTTTCCAAAGTCACGAAAAAATGCAATGAGAAGCGGAATTCACCTGCAGGCGTTATTAACTTTATACAGACCCACGGACGAATCACGGGCAGTGCACCAATTATTTCAAATACTGGCATTAATAAGGGACACCATGATGAACACACCAATAAGGTCATGCATATCAGAAAACCCATGGCTGTTGCTGCTTCTTCTGCTTCTGCCTCACAGACGATTATCAGTGCCGCCGGCGTACCCAATCTGCCCAGAAGCGTGCTTCAACAGAAGCGTCGTAATCTTAAAAACGCTCTAAACAACATCAGTGCCATACGTGACGGGCAAGTGTCCCTTTTGAAATCATCCCATCTGCAACGCCCGATTACAGAGGATATTAATTATCGACCTCTGGTTACGACGACGGTGGTGCCACACCAATCGCTATATGGCGTCGAGCCATCCGTGGAGGAGGCGCTCCCAGAACATATCATAATAGCTGCACCTAAAAAGAAAAAGGAAGAACCAGCTAGTCTGTCCAGTTCAGATCCACCTAAGTTGCAAAAAATTGCAAAATTGGTTCGAGCATCTTATGCATCTGACGGCGGCTGTCCTCCAATCGGAGAAGCTATGCCTGCTTCCAAGTCGAAGACACCACCCAGCATAAGCAGTCTTACCGATGCAATTTCACTGGGCAATGTCATTCGAGATCCCGATCTACTGAAGCTAATACTTAAGGCACTGAAATGGCCAGTCACAACTGGAAATTGTGAAGAACAAATGGCACGACTGAAAAACTCAAAATTTGCTGTGATTATGTCGGACAGCAATCTGTTGCAGGATACCGATCTGACGCAACTATTGGGTCCGTATCTGGGCCCAATGATGGCTGTTGTTCAGCAGCAGCAGAAGCAATCGTCCGCGATAGCTACGACTAAAAGTCCCTCTCCGCCAGCGAGTCCGTCACAAGAAATCGGAGACACACAAACGTTAGGAGACTGTGCGATGCCTTATAAACTGCCACCAGAGACGTCGGTTCAATTGGTGCCCTCCAGTCCGACGGATCTCGAGCAGCATCAGCCAGTAACTATTAAACCAGTGGAGCCAATCGCAAAGCTTTCGCAACGAAAATCGCGGTTAGATGACTTGTATCTTGATGGACAAGCGACCACAGCAGCTACAACATCAAACGCTGCACTTGTAACCAATGAATTGCTCAACATTAACGCCATGTTGATCTCACAATTTGGCACAAATCCCGCTGATGCACTAAACGAGGCGCTAATCTCTATGTTGAGACAACAGCAGGAATCGAAGAATCAGCGATCAAGTCGACGACGCCGCAGTGCTTCAACAACGAGCACTTGCCTCAACTTAGAAGATATTGTTCTTGTGGAGCCGCAACTTTCAGTGCCTGGCTCTGATGTTTCCACTCTCACGATGCCGCCTCAAGAGCTATATGAACCTCCTCCCCCTCCTATCACGCGCCCCATTATCAAACGACGGAAGGTCGTTGTGCAGGCGCTAAAGCAAAGCTGTGCTAAAAACACACATATAATCGAGCTTTCAATGCCCAAAACAGATACAGATAAAGATGCATCTAAAAGTGAGCCGGAACGACTCAAGGTCCCCGAGGAGACTTCCAGTAATGCTAATTGTCATAAAATCTTGGAGGCTTCTACAAGCCAGCAAGCGGTCGAAACACCACAGGCTCCGACAAGCACTGTTCCGGAAATGATTCCCAGCAGTAGACACAAAGCGGAACCTGAATGCGCCACTGATTACAAAGCTGCCGTAAATAACAACCCAACAGAGCCATCTTTGGCAAGTGTTGTACGTCGATCGAATGTGAAATCTGCGTTAGGCCAAAAACTTCTGGAGGCTATAGGCCTGCCGCAACTCGGCAAAAACGTGCCAACGGAAAGTTCCCGTGACACACTGCGCAGTGCGTTAAAGCGATCGCTGAAACAGGCCCAGGAACAGCAACAACAACTGAAGCGCGTCAAGCAAGAGGAACCCGTAAAACAGATGGCGGATTCGACGACGAAGCCGGTTGCCGGCGAGTCTTCAGAGGAACACAAAAAGGCCATCGCAGAGCGAGAACTGGAGTTACTGAAACGCAAGACAAAAAATGCAGAGACAACTACTTTATCGTTCAAGGAGTAAGAATATTACCTACTCAAATTGTGCCCTTTGTTTTTTTTTTTACCAAGTTAAATTTAATTTTAGTGAAAAAACGGAACGTACGGATGTAAGTTCTTCATCGTCACGCAATCGTAGAAATCGTAAGAAATCGAAAACAGATGCCAATGAGGATGACTCTTTTATTGACGAGAGAAAAAGTGAGCGATGGGATGAAGATGATGATTTGCCACTGAAAACAGAACTAGAGAAAAACTCGGAGCATTTCAATCGTCCCACACGCACTAGCAAAACGATGTCCAAGTATTACAAAAGTCCAGGGAGCGAAAAGGCATTGTTGTCAACCCAAAAGTCGCAACATGCTATGGGCAGACGATCTACCAGGCAACGTTAAATTGCTGTTGAAATAATATATTCAATTTGTACTGATCTGACGTCTGGCATATAAAATATGTGCAGATATTGTTAACACTTCTCATATTACATTAATTCGCAGTTTAAACAGTATATACATATGTACTTTATTCATAAATTGTTTAACTATTACTCAGTAAGAGTTGAGCATATGATCTGTCTTCACTGACAATCATATTATATATTTACAAATATTGGATATTTGAATTTTCTTGGCTACCTATCATTTTCAAAGAAATGCAAGTAAGTACACATAACATAGTAAAGCATTTTCAAAGCATATTGACATTTTTGTAGATCAAAAAGGCTTAAGCCATATGGATAGCAATTATAGAACTGCACATTTCAAATGATATGTGTATGCAGAGGGAATTTAAAATTGCTTTACCAAATTTGATACCAGATATCTTAAAAGTGTATATGCTCGTTGGTCTTATCGCCGTATCGTTAGTCTAATAACAGTCAAATGCTATACAATTAAAAAAAACAAAACAGGTAAGAAAGCTCAACTAGGACATACCCTGAATAAAAGTCTTTACCTATCAGTCCATTGAAAAAATGGTTAATTTATACAGATGATCAATTATTACGTACAGGTACCCAAGGTCTCAAAAAATGGTTGCTTTTACTGCTATCGGTAATCGACTTTCATATATGGATAAAGTGAAATAAACTTGATCTACTCATGGCATACAAGACATATATTGCAAATTTTAGTCCCTAGACTATTGAATTCGATCAAAAATATATATATGTTGTGAAATCGGAGACACTTCCTTCTGCCAGTTGCATACTTTGGCACATTATACCTTTGCTAAAAAGCTTTCAATGGTTTCAGCGTATAATAAATGTCTATTAATATGATGTCACACACGCCCAAAAACAACTCAGTACGTTTTCGCTATTTATATGCACACACGTATATTTATATATCTATACTTATGTACAATTTTGTTGATGTATGTATGTGCGATAGATAAAAATTTGAAGAAATCAGTTGAACATTATTCGCGCCGTGCTAAGGTTGAGCAGCGAGAGCCTATTTTGCCCAGATTGCTTTTGGAGATGTGTGAATCGCTGCTACTTCAGAATGCATTCGTCTATACAATTTGAGGAAATCATATGCAAAAAAAATTCCAGTATTCGCACACAATAAGTTATAGGATCTAAAATTGGCCAGATTTCGACGTCTTGTCTCCTGCTATAAGATTGCAGCGATTACCAACCCACTCGAAAAGAATTCTGCTTTATTTTGGGTAACATTACAATGAGTTGCTGCTGCGGGAAACGCAAACGCGCAGCTGACTGTAGCAGTAGTGATGAAGAGAACGTTTTGCATCTTAACACCAATGACGTAAGTATACATCTGTACATACTTACGACGTATTCTGTAAGACCACTGCTATGACAACGTACATATGTAGTAAACACATATCTCTTAGGAGTGTGTGTGTATATATAAATTAGTTACATTTATATATATGTAAACATATCAATGGAAAACTAATTATATAGCCATATATTTATATATATGAAAGCAGAGGTATGCGTTAGTCGATAATTTTATGTGTGTGTGTGTATAAGTTCACCTATACGTGTATTTATATATATTTTATGTATTGATAATATCAATGAAAAACTATTTACTTAGACATTTATTTCTTCATATGAAACCTGAGGTATGCGTTAGTCGGTAAGTTTAATACAAAGTGGCAGCACCTTGTTGGTTACCCGAGCAGTTTCGCTGTGAGAATAATAAAAAACAAACAAAAAGGCACATCGCAAAAACCGCAAGAGAGAGAAATACACATATAGAAAGATACATACATATGTATGAGTGTATGCACTATACATAAACAAACTTATACAAAAAGAAAAGAGAGAGAGAGAGAGAGAGAGAGAGAGAAGCAGAGATAAGCTTGAGAGTAAGCTTTGTAGCACCATCTGAAAGACGAGAAGTTTTGTCGTGTTCGCATCCAACGCAACCGGTTAGTATGACTGCAATAACGTTGCTAATACATGAACTCTGTGATCTGGCGGATGCATTTTGGCACTGTGAATTTAATTTCGTCCGAAGTTTAAAATATTACAACACAAAGCGTCGCTTGTATTTGTTTTCGTTTCTCTGTCGAGAACACTGGTTGCGTCAGTACACGAATAACCTATCGGACAATACAAAACAGCAAAACAGCATGCGACATGCTAAGAAAAATACATCGGCCGATTACATCGATTTTGCCGCTTTTGAGGCTACCGCGGCTTATCGACCCATTGAACATTTCGATCGCCAGCAATTGGATTGCTTGAATGACATCGAAATTGTTGATGGTATGGACTTTAATGTACGTAAATAATGTTATCATTTACTAAATAATACTATTGTGATGTTATCGCCTTCAATTACGTAGTCGCGTAAATACGTTGTACATACACATACATGTGTATGTTCCTAAATATTTACTTTTGCATGCAAGCTTTTTTTTTTAGATATTACGTCTTTATTTTACGTTTAGCGTGCTTTCTGTTACTTATTCTCTTTCTCTTGCGGAGCGCAACTTTGTGAGCTTTTGCTTGGTCAGCTGTTGTGCACAGTCGTGGTAAATAAAACAGTCTTGCCCAGCGTCACAGCCATTACATCTGTTTAACTTTTAGCTGACAACACATCAGAATGTACAATAATTCTGGTGGTCTTTTCATCAGCTGTTTTGCTGTAGCGCTACACCCTGTATATTATATGTAATACTTAACCTAGCATTCAAGTTTTACGCACACGCCTTTGTTCTGGAAGCTTTTCAATACTGCGCCTTTGTTTCAAGTTTTAAGCCTCACTAAAACTTTCAGTAGGTTTTTTTTGTCGTGTGAAATGTGAGATATTGTTATAAGCAGAAGTTATTGCTGTAGAAGTGAACAAAATAGTTTTATGTAGTGGACATTTAATTGCACATAAAAAATAAGGAAAAATAACTGTGATAATATGTATTTGTATACAAATCTATAATTGCTGGCCTCGTTTATTATGCAGAAAGTTGTTTTGCTTCTACACAACTCTGTTTACCGCAAACGGAAAAGCGTCTCCAAGAGTATAAAACATACCTAACCATATATGTATGAGTATATGTACATTATTTATTGGATTTATTCTGAATGCGATTAAACATTTGTGAGAGATGTGCTTTAAGACTTTGTGTAGAAAACTGTTCTGTTGTTGTTGTCATCAAACCAGAGAGGGTGGTCTGAATGAGGTAAGCAGTGAGCCAAGGACTTGTCTTTCAAAAGCCAATGATATATATATATATATATACAGTTGCGGTCAAAATAATAGTAGTGCTCTGCTTCTTAAAGTATTTATTAAATATATGACTCATTTTATGGGGATCAAATCGAGACCTCAAAATCGTCGATATTAAGAGAGATTCAATTCGGCAAAACATCTCATCTGGGAAAGTTCTAAAATACCATTATTTTCCAAATACTAATCGGAGTAAAATATAACCATACATCATATCTTGTTTTTAGAAATTAGAAATATTATTTAGGAGCAGGGAAAGCAGAAAAAACTTTTGTATTCTTTTTTTTGGTAAAAATATAATAGCTATGCCATCTTTTAATGTTTACTTATCTTCAGTATTAACTGCTTGTGTTTAAATCTAATTTTCATAATTTTCGAACTATATCTTAAATATATAAATTGTCTTAACATATGTGTGCACTACTATTATTTTGATCGCAGCGGTATGTATATGTATGTATATACATTGATATTGTCATATTGATCAGGGTGAACACAGTAACCGTATTTTTGGTGTTGTTTGTGTAAATTGTTAAAATGTCGATGCGATATATCTTTAATATATTTAATGAGCACGCTAAGCATCGTAGTAATGTATATGATTAAGATTAAACACAATCTGATAATTACTTTAGGCTGCCTTCTATGAATACTCTGATGCTTTGCTTAAGTACCATAACGATGAAATTGGCCAATTATGCGAAGGAGTCAGTTTTACCATCAGCGGGAAAATTGCGATAAATTGCGAGAGGTGAGTAAATAGATATATTGGTAATCCATATATATTCCATCCAATAAATTGCTCCATTCATAGGTTCTCCATTAATTTCGTGTATAACAATGAAACACGGGATATCGCTCTGCACGTCAATCCACGCCTTCCACAGAACTATATTGTGCGTAACACGAAGGTAAACGATGTTTGGGGTCCTGAGGAAGTTTCTTCAGCGCTCCCATTTTTGCTTCAACGTGGCGACAAATTTGCAATCCAAATTTTCATTACGAATACGTGTTATATGATATCGATAAATGGTCATCACTTTGCTGAGTACGCGCATCGCATTCTCTATAGCGGTATTCGGAGTCTTGAAGTCAAAGGTGATGTTGAGGAGGTGGAAATGCATCGAACCATGGTTGAGTACTATCCACAACGATTGGAAGAATCAGCCGCTCGAGTTATAGAGTCGCATCTAGAAACAGAAGCGGACGAGGTTGATTCCAATGCGAAGGATATTATCAGCATACCTCACGAGTGGTGTCTAATTAGCTCTCCCATAAAACTTTCAAACAAATCAATGAAGAGCAACTACAATGGAACAGATCAGGGACTTACGCTTCCATACTATGGCACACTTTTGCCGAAGTCATTAAAGGAAGGCCGATGCCTTAAGATTGAGGGTCGTGTACGTTTGTTGCCACACTCGTTTTATATAAATTTACAACAAGGTCAACACATTTGGCCACATCCTGTAATTGCATTTCATTTGAATCCACGTTTCTCACAAACAAGCACTGGGGCCATAGGTAAGGCTGTAGTGTGTCGTAATGCTTGGTACAATGGTAGATGGGCAGAAGAGGAGCGCTCTGAGTTAGATACAAACTTCAGACCTGGTCGCACATTTAGTTTAGCTATCGTGTGCTCCAAGGAATCTTTTGAAGTCTATGTTAATCGACAGTTTATTACCAAATTTAAGTACCATTTCAACCCAGATGTTGTGGATACGGTTTACATTCAGGGTGATGTGAAGCTCTGGAATGTGACACTCGAACCCAATCCAATTGTTAAAGGAAAAAATGTGCGCATCTATCACAATCCACTGTATAATGATGAATATTAGTTGATTAAATCTGTATCTGTTTGAATGAAATTTCGAATGTTCATTTTCTTAACATATATGTTTTTACCAGTTGCCTTTAGAGACAATAATCTAATCTTAGACATATTTAAGTTTATTTTCTAGTAACCCAAATAATCCAGGCCAAAAAAAAATTGAGAAAAACAATGTATAATGTAAATTTCGCTTTATATATTTTTCAATATTATTTTCCTATTAAGCAGTAATTGTTACCTTTATCTAAGATTGTAAACTGTCTGTTATGTATAATCTTGTAAGCTTCAGCAATTGCTTGTTAATAATTGTTTAATCATTCCCTTTAACATGGTACTCTAATTTTAAGGATTAAAGAGAAATATAAAGCTTAGGCTAAAGACAAAGCAATGACTGTAGAAGCAAAGTGTTACACATCTGTCTTTATTTTTCGGTTTGAAGTCGGATCTGACATTTTTTATTTAAAAAGACCATATTTTGTGGCGAATTGTGATCTAACTAATCCTAAGGGATAGAATCCATTCATACTGCTTCATACGAGTCCCTTTAAAGATATGAATTTATTTACACAAGTACAAAAAAAGGTTAAGAAAATTATGTTTTTTTCTTCAAAACATCTAACAAAAAAGTATTTCTCTAAATTATTGTACGATTCATAAAATTGTCAAAATTATTTATTATTATTATATTAGGTCGTATTTTTTTTAACATGCATAACAGGCGTTTCCGACTGCAAGGCCATGAATATCTACGAAGGCGCTCGGAGCATTGCCCTGCGGCGCCACTTGGATGCTATGTCGGGATTCTATGAGGAACGCAGCGTTGCCCAACGACGTAAGCAGTGGAGGCTTCTTGAGCCACCAGTGCCCGGGCTTAGTTTCTTTTTTTACGGATTAATTCTTAACGATTGCGAGCACTTTGTGATCGATTTTATGGCTAAACGGAAAAGCCAATTAAACGACGTTGTTCTGCAGATCGGTGCCCGCCTTCCACAAAACTACATTTTGCGCAACTCCCGGCTAATGGGCAAATGGGGTCCCGAGGAAAATTCATCAAGCTTACCTTTTCAGTTAAAACGTGGTGAGAATTTTTGGATGCAGGTGCTGCTCACTGACCACTCATTTTACATATCGGTTAATGGCTATCACTTTGCGCTTTATGAATACCGTATGCCATACCAGTGGCTGACCGGAGTAGATGTTCGCGGTGATGTTTCTGATATGATTATTAACATCTTTTATGTTTCGGAATACCCAATTCGTATAAGTCATTCTGTGGCCAGCTTTTTACCCTATGTCAAGGATTTTTCAGAAAGTGTGGCATATGACCAAACTCACACAATGCCACGGGATTGGCTGCGTATTGAAGTTCCATGTTCATTTCTTGACAACATGGCTCAATATCAAGCCCAGCTCTCCTTGCCCTTCTATGGTCGAATGCAAAAAAAACTGACTGACGGTCGTGAATTGCGTATTGAGGGTCGTGTGCGTCTAATGCCCCAAGGCTTTACTGTCGCTTTACAGAATGGTCAACATGTCTGGCCGCAGCCTACAGTATCGTTCCTATTTAATCCCAGTTTCTTGCGGAGCAAGCGCGCGAAGGTGGGCAAAGCCGTTATAACGAGGAGCGCCTATATAAATGGAATGTGGGTGAGCCGAGAAGTGTCGCGCCTGCATACACATTTGGGACCAGGGAAGCCATTTGTTCTTATAATCGCCTGTCGGCGGCAATGCTATGAGCTATTTATCAATAGCAATTCTGTGCTGACTTTTAAGCATCAGATGAATCCTGCAGACGTCGATATGGTAAATATACGCGGTGACCTCAAGCTCTGGAGTGTTTTGGTGGATAGCGGTAGGCTTCCAGTAAGGCCATCGGGTGAGTTTAAGGAACAATCTTAATATAAATGTAATTAGCTATATCTATTCCGTCCAGGTCATTTCCGATCAAATTAAAGTTAATAGAGGTTCTAAAATACATTGGATAATACGATTTTTAAAATGTTTTGATTATACTTGCCACTCTTTTTGCTCGCCAACTAGAGGTTCTAAAATACATTGGATAATACGATTTTTAAAATGTTTTGATTATACTTGCCACTCTTTTTGCTCGCCAACTTACAAATAAACGTTAGTCGACGATGATCAAAGTATTTTTATATTTTCATCTTTACTTATGACAGACGAATAAAATACATATACATACATATTTTTCAGCAATTAAAATAGCAAAACAGGTCTGTTGCAACTGCAGGGCGCTTCTACTCATAAATGTCAACGTGCTGTCAACTCGACCGCAGTCCATAACAAGAGCGCAGATGGACTGTTGAGGTCTGCTTCAATTGATTATTAAAAATGATAATCGATTAAAGACGCCTCTTGCCAGTTTCTGATGCTTTCTGTCTGTGGGCCTGCTGCGTTTAACTGACGTTTATGTCTGCATGTGTTGAGCAAGACAGTTGACATTGTTTTGGCATGTGCAGCAAAAAGTGGTATCAAAATGGGCAAAGCCGAAAACGTCGCGTAGACGGCAAATATTTTCCAAGGTTGCCAAAGGAAGTCACTTCTGTTACAGGAAGAAAAAACTTAATATTATTTATGGTTCAAGTTCGAACGTGCTACGCATTTTTCGTCTGTTTTGGTAATGAAGTGGATCATTGCCAGTCTACTGAATGCAACAACCAACAGCGATTGCCATCGTCTGTGTTTTATTAGCTTTTATTAAAATTCCAAGTTCTTCGTATCTACCACACATAATATGTATACCGACAAAAACTCAACAAACTCGTTACTTTTCCATCTTGGACTTTTTAAGCATCCGATGTGATTTGAAAGTGATGTTCTGCAAGAGCAGAATACTACTAATATATGGTTTGAATTTGTATTCCTTTTATTTGTATATAGAAAAAATAACAGTACCGTTGCACTGCTCCATATGTATGTAAGTGTATATTCTTTATAAGTAAATTGAAAGGATATTTGGGCACAGGGTATCTGTTAGTCGATTATAGTGGACTATATTGATCTTAGTTGTTTTGATTGCCTCGGAGTTGCTAAGATATTTACTCTCCTCTTTTTGCATAAGTACGGCATATCGATTGCATCCTTACTGACAAACAGCTTGCAAAAGTTTTGACTACAATCGATGGGTTTTTCAGGGATTGAAGTCGACAGGTAGGTTTGATGACTGCATCCAATTTCTGTAAATAATCAAACTCAGAATTAATTATGCGCAGATGGTAGTCTGCGACCAAAAATTTACCCGCTTCTCCCTTTAAAATGTTGTTCATTTCGCTGCCACCACTGCAATTAAAATGTCGTCGCACCGAAAAAATTAAATGCCAAAAGCGTTCAAAGTTCTGTTCGATTTGGAGGTGCTCCTGTATGTCAGGTCGAGACAAATATTTTGCGATGGTCGAAGGTTTGTGCGTATAGCAATTACTGCAGGTATCGCTGGCCAAGTATTGGCTGTACAGCTATTAATGAGGCATTTGCTGCTGTTGTTGTTATTTCCAGATGTTATTAATTATTAATATCATATTTTTTATGCATTTTTTTCATGTTGCTACTGGAAAGAGACATCGTCTGATAGGTTTTCCTGATCCGCTTTCGCATTTTGCGCATAACTTGTTCATCGCTGTAATTTGTCACCATTAATGATGTTATTAAGTGCATTGATTGAAGGTAGGTACTGTGTTAATTTGACGACTCTTTTCAGTCCTTATTGTTATACAGTTTTTGATAATATTTTTCTGTACATTATGTAACTGTCCACTATCCGCATTGGTCTAAATATGATATGATGACGATAATAAAAATTATTTGTTTATTTGTAGTGGAATGATAACTTAAGCTCTTACTATTTTAACGTATTTATAAATACGCGAAATTTAAGGAACTTCACACAATAACATACTGCACAATTAGTAAGATAAAAAAGGTGTTGCAGCACAAAAAATTTGCACCAACATGTTACACTCGTCATTGTGGTCAGAGGCCTCCGATTAGCCAGCCGCAGCCACACAACTTAGTTGGTGTTACCATTGTTTTTGCGTCAAGTGGTTTATCAATATTCTATTTGTGTAGTTCAGGCTCGGCACAATCAATGTCTCCGCAGTGCAGCAGCATCGGCAACATTCTAAATGAAACCTCAATTTAGGTTTCGCTGCCCGTTCTGCCATTGCAGGAGTAGTTGCTTGTGTCAATTGTTTGAAATGGTCAACGGAATGCAACTTGTTTCCCATACAACGCAATATCACAGTCTTAAATAATAGCCGCTTGCCGACCGACCAAATTACAAGCCGTCCAAAAACCAGTCAACGAAATACTGTCTTGCATAGATGCGCAAATATTTGAGGGAAGGTGCAGATATAACCATGATATATCCGAACAAAACAACACGATATCAATCACTTTTTGCAATGCGCTTCTTTTTAGACATTTGTTAATCCTGGAGACTTAACTCTGTCTTCTGTTTTTCATCATCGTGAGTAGAGTTAAGGCACTGCCTGAATCAGTTACTCTTTTCACAAATGCATTTATTGTCGAGTTTATAAGGACGTTTGGGATAGTATTCCATCGGAAAATCTTAGTAATTGTCTAAATTGTTTGATCACCTACACTTGCAAATTATCACACACTTATAACAATTTGTAAAAGCATAATAAACATTTTGCATTGTATTTTCCACTGTAAATCTATTGCAGTGACCTACTGACTTTATTATTTACTAACAATTTCCATTTTGTACGCAGCCACTTCCAAGTTTAGAACACATTCGAGCAATTAGTGCTCTGTTGCCTTTCAATATCAACTCATTCTGCGCCGTGCTTAAAAAAGAGTCATTCTCATAAAATAATGTGTTGGACTGGTAGAGAGTATTCAAAAGTCGATAGTTTCCGACTGGAACGTTCTTAACGTTCAGTAACATTAAATCAGACATAAATTGTGCTGCATCTGAAGCTTGGCGTCCCTTTCTTCCAAGTTGCCCTCTCGTGTAAGCGATAAATTCACAATACTGTCTGAAACTTGTTCCTTACTTTTGACTTTTAAGACTGATCCTGCAACGTTTCAGACTATGTTGAGTAAGTGTGTAGGTCTAAGGGACAGACAGCGTCAACCGCTGCTCAACCTCCCGGTTTCTTGGAATATCGCTCGAGATCAATCTTTCACTCATCTGATTGCATATTTTTATATGGTAGTTGGGCACATCTTTCGCATCCTTTTTCGGCATTCTCGTCCGCCAGCAAATAGTTGCTGTTTCTTTACTTTGCTTTAACACGTGCTCATTTGTTATACCCTTTAAGCATAATATGGATAAGGTGCAAATATATCTACGGAGTTAAATGCAGCAGTTTACAAGCCAATTTATATGTTTTTTTTTTCCTTTTATATAAGCATTTTGATCTAAGTTAATATTTGCATTCCCATTTTTATGAAAGTTTGAATGCCAATTTAGTACATAAGCTCTTGTATAATTTACAAATATGCATTTCATAAGGTATCTTCTAGTCGAACATCTTCGTACTTTAATACTTGTTATACCCATCATTTTTGGTTCACAAATCGAGAAAAATTTCAGTAATTTTAATGCGACAACATTGTTTTATTGATTTTGTTTGCACTTAAATTTTTTAATTTTGAATTTTTTAATACTGAACTATTCTAGACGCATATGAGTTGCGCATCATGTTCATACATTTTCACTTCATTTGTATTCCCCGTAACAATTAAGTTAAATGTATGCAATATGCATAAAACTGCGTTTCCATCAAGTATAGATATTTTTGATAAAAGCGACAAACTATACACATTTTGTAATCTAATTAATTATTTTTAATTTTTTCGATTTGTTAAGAACAAACAGTTTACTTTATCCATACATACATACATATAAGATAGACAAAACTAACGCACTTCTAGCACTTCTAGAAATTACAAAATAGAAGGAACCTGAGTTCCTGAGTTCCTGAGCTCTGTCAAGCCACGCATAATATATTTCATATACAATGTGTGTCTTTCAATGGGAAGACCCAAGTAGTTGGGCATAAGCTAACTTACGTTGCGTGAATACACTGAAGCCGGGCGCCAACTGACTGTGCATGCCTTTTTAGGCTACGAGTTGTATTCACTTTGGGACGGCTGAACGGCTGACCAGGTTCTGACAGTAGCGACTGACCACAGCTGGTAGCGACGCAAACGTGTAAGTTATGGGGCGCTGATAAGTATCTCGTTGTTCAGCTTAGCAATGTTCGTTGCTTATAAGGGCAAAGTTGACACTGTGTGGGTGGACTCTTAATCCACGCAGCGCCTGAATGCTTCAGCATTGTGTTGTGTTGGTCTTGCACAATTAGCAGCAGGCATCGCTTTGGTGTGGCATTGACTGTTGAACAAAATTGATTGCCGGCAGTTCGCGAAGTTGTTGCCACGGTACTGACGTTGTTGCTGGAGTGGCGCCAGCTATGAATTTCTTATAAACATAGCATATATGTATGTATGCAAACGCCGATCAACCTGCATAGTAAGTAATGATCAGTAGTTTCCCTAATAATACAAATACAAATAATAAATAACACTTCATACTTGAGTTAAATAGGAGAAACCCAGCAACATTATGTATGAAATGAAAACACAAATTATTCTGTTTGATATTCTTGAGCAATGATTGTCCTTTTCGATTACAGGTGTCTTTCAATGCGAAATATTGGCGCCAACGATCATTTACGCTTGGTAAGTTGAATTGAAAGTAAATATTGACATAGGAAACCAACTTGAAGACAAGTCTATGACTGCGTTTGCGCCTGCGCAACTATTTAAACAAATGTAAATTGAAATTCCTATGCCACAGAAAGTGGCAACAACCACAGACAGACGGTTCTTATAAAGTATTGACGATGACTTACTAATGGCGGTTTCTTGTGGACGCAATTTTGCTAACTGCTTAGCCTTTGGATTGATTGCGTCACATTTGATTAAATCTAAAGAGGGGTTTATGGCAAACGAAAAAGCCACTCAATAAATAGCAAAACTTACACATTATACATATATATGAATATATTTTATTTTTAGCTACTTCACATACGCAAGTACATAAATTGCAAATACTACATTTTAGGTGAATGACAGTAAAGTAAAATTTCTCCTCGGTTCATGGATATATATATATAATGTAATATATATAATGTACACAATTGAAGTTAATCGCAAAAGACGTAGCGGCGTTAGTTGATTTTTGGATTGGTTGGTCCACAATTGTTTGGCAACGACTGTCATTTGGCCCAGACTGTTTAATACCCAGTACCCATTGAAATGAAGAGAAGGGTGTAAAAGAAATGTTAAAAAAAAATAACTAGAGCATGTTGTGTTCCTTTCATTGAAAGTTCGCTAGGCCTACTGCTTTTTGAAGTGTAACCTAATTGAAGGGTTTTTACATACGATCCCATATATGTATTTATATAAAAGATGATTGCAAGAGTATTGTGAGATTAAGGGTATGGAGTATCTCTTAGTCGATAACTCACGCAAAACAAGAATGCTCACTTGTTTTATTTTAAGAATGTCACTTGTGCATTGCTCGCTGGGCGCCAATGTTTCGTGCGTTCCGATGCACACAGCCAACTCCGTCCCCACTACTGTCTAGCCCCTAGCCAGGCGGCTTTGACTTGGCGAGCAATTTAGCGTCAGCATGCAAATAATTTGGTTTTGAGTTGTTTTTAACCAAGCGACACCAGCTGTTGGGTCTTCATTTATGTATGTGTTTACATATATTTTAACGTATTTATGCCTGTGATCGCACATGTTTACATGAATAAATTCATACATAAATATGTATATGTGCTTTAGGTGCAAACATTCCTCTGAAAATGAATTCAACTAACAAAATATTGTTAAATATCATTTAAGTAATGAAGTAAATCAGTGTCCTTACCGTTTACTTTACGTTCTCATCTCTTTTTGCTTACTGACAGTGTACATCTACTCATATTCGGAATATAACTATGATCGACTTCTTCGTGTTGTCTTGTCAGTAATCGTTAAACTTAATTCTAGTAGACTATAAAAATGTTGTAAGGTTTCTATAATATAATTTTACCAAATCACTCACCATTATTTAAAGTCACATCATATCAACAATAGCCACTAGAAACCACATTAACTATAATAACATATAACGCCCCCGAACTTGTGATGGCGATAGAATTAACGAACAGTAAAACTCAGAAGCCGACGTAAACATCTGCCACAAGTGCGACATACTTTGTTCGCTTCAAGATACTGCAACAGTTGGCAGAGCTATTTTTAGCCAATATTTCGCACAATATTTGTGCCTAATTTTCTTAGCTTGCTGTTACTAAATCAACTTCTCATAACAACCTCAACATGTGATCCGCTGAATTGTAGTTACTGTTTCAATTATTTATACAAATGCTCATTTTTTGAGCTGATAGTGGAAGCAAAGTAACTTTTTTTTTAAGTTCGTTTGCTTCGTTTAAAATACAAGGGTTTGCGAACACGAGAAGTTTTTAATTTGAAAATAAATCTTTTTAATATTGGCAAAAAGCGGCACTCACCTTTGTCTTATGCCATACTTTTTTTATTTTGAGCGTTCTCTGCGTTTTTTCCACTTGTCGCGTTCACAGAATATAAATTAGTATTGCATCATTTAAAATGCGTTCACAAGATTTATTTCATTGATTTTTGATGTCTTTGACGATTGCATCAATTATTTTGATTCCAAATGTTTTCGTGTGTACTTCAGCCACAGAGTCCAGCAGACTCTGTTTAAAACATCACTTAAAGTCTGATAAGAGCGCAATGTTGATGCAGAAGGAACATTCTCATAAAAAACAGAAAACATTTTTAACTTCCTCTTAATTTAATAGATCAAAAGTTAGAAATCGACTTGTGAAATTTAAAAATAAAGACTATCTTCTATAAGGCTAAATATCCATCACACCTTATGGTGGTCAATTAACCAACGTCGTACTTGCTGCAGTTCAATGAACTCATATTTTTTGCATACATTGCAAAAGCGAATGGCTTTGGCAACATTTTGAAGTTCTTACACTTTATTTTATTACGTAGATTGTATATTTACATAATATTTAGATGTAATAATAATAATAAAATATAGAAAATAAAGAATGTAGAAATGAAGCATTTTAAGTCTACAGCTAAGTTAACTGGTACAGCCTCACACTACACGTACGACTTTTTCTCATAAATGAAATTACTAGTAGTTTTATAAGTTTATATTTCCATAACAACCCGATACGACCGCAATCGAATGCCAAAATTACATCAGCCAAACTTGGTATACAAGTTATAAAATCTAGAGTATTCAAATTAAATCAGATGCTGTCCAGAATATGATCAGTTAATTGAACATAGTGACAAGCATTTTTCAAATTACACGATCATTAAAATCATTATTTTTATTAAGAATGTGTACAATAAGTGTTGGTACTTAAAAGTAATTCCAACAAACAGAAACAAAAATTATAACTTTCCAACATAAAACGACAGCAAAAGCAATAACTTAATCGATAGTTTTCTGAATCATTCACTTGATTTCCACAAGGGTGTACCCAGCTTATCGAAAATTAGGTGGCTGATTTTAGTATGGTGGAGAGGCGGTGTGGGGTATGGGGTGGAAATGTACCTATATAATGGTAGGTCATATTTAGTCTTCAGGCAGAGAATGGCACTTGTGTCATATATTCATAGAACGTTCAAATACTCGTAACCGTTTACTTCTGAACACGATTTTCGGTTAGTATAGCTATTAAAGTATGTCTTAGACTTTTCTCAATTTTTTACTAATGAGTATAATATATTTTTCTTACAACAGACTTAGGAGCTTAATTTTTAAATTATACTCTTACCACAGAATTAACGAATATTTCAATTACAGTTATGTCGTTTACAGCTTATGTATATGTGGCGTACAATACAAAATCCGTCCTATTTGATCTGCATGATTTACTTAAAAGAGGTGCCTTAAATTAAAATTTTATCGATTACACAGCTTTATTATACCCTTTTGGGTATTTTAAATGGGTAAAGGGTATAATAAAAGCAATTTTAAAACTACGTTTACGGGAAATACATGCACCGCCCCAAACGTCTGCACTATACATTTCATGAAGCTAGCAACCTGCTCTACTAAACAAGTTTCTTTTCAGCTACAAGCTGATGTAATTTATACCCACTATTACACACTAGGTCAAGTAGATGCTTTGTAAAAATATAAAATATATGCTCTTTACTATTTGATGTCTTAATAAGTGCGCATGCACTAGTTACGCGAATTCAATATCGGTACACCTTCCATGCCGGTGCGATTAAGTGGCAATATTTTTATATACTTATATGACTGATAATAGACGTTCGCTAGCTCGTATGCCCCAAAACAGCTCGAAAGAGCTCGGTGCAGGTAAACCGGGTGTGCGCACCTGTCGTTTTAGCGTTGTCTATATCTCTCTCTCTCTCGCTCGTCTATTATTCCAACGTGTTGTGGTCTGATAAGATTATTTTACGTATAAAAATATATATCCCTTATATGTCTACCTACACAATGCAGCTTTAGCGTTTAAATCCCATTTTTCTGGTACGCTCGCACTAAGGCGAGTAATCGGTCAGTCCCAGCCACACGGAAACACATATTTAATATGATAGTCAATTTTGTATTTCAGCATTCTGCTTTTATGGCACTTAATTATTACTCAAATGAGATTATCGGTTATGTGTTGAGTGTTTACACATGGGATAAATTACTCCAAATATCTTTTATATTTTCATAACATTCCATAATGCATACAAATATAAAGATTTCCTTAATTATGTTCAAATTTATACAATTACATGAGCCGAAGCAGTACAATTGACCTTTGAAGTCTAAAGCGAACATTATTTAAACATAATGATTGACTTAAAAACTATTCTTAAAAACGTACAACACCCTTGTTGGTTTCTGACAAAAGTACAGTTATTGTCATAGGTTTTCTGCATGATTACGCTTATTGTCTTTTAAAAAGTTTTAAATTTAAATTTAAATTTGTATTCTTTGTACTGCAGAGCATGTTTTGGCTTCTGCCTTATCTATTATAGATGTTTACATTAAAAGCAAGTTTAAAATAAGATCACATGGCATATTTCACATCCTAAAAATATAATATTATACATATCCTATATACATATGCAGATATATGAAAATTACCAACAGCGTGTTTGGTTTTCCCTCTTCAACCCAACTTTTTAGCGTAACAAAAAAGCTAATACAACTTATGTGTATTTCCATACTTTATTTGTGCATAACCGCTTTGTCATGTATGGACATAAGTGCCTGCTCAGGAACTATTTTGACAACACTTAAGGACACTCTAAATTAGTAATAAGTGTTAACTCAGTCACATTCAAAGTCTTTAGTAAATTAAGGCTCAGCTTGTTGAAAATAGGTTAATTTTACTCTTCTTTCTTCCGTTTAATTTTTCCCTCGGTTTGAATAGTTGATGTAATGGCCTCAATACAATCAGCAATAGTCGGCTCAGATTGGTCGGAGCTGTAGTCCTTACCAGCCATGCGACTTAACGTAAGTATGTAGGAACAGGCTACGCGCAGTACCGATAGCTTTGATAGTTTTTGGGAACTTGCATATGCTGGTACAGCGTTACGTAATGTCTCATACGCTGCGGAAATAGTGTGAACTCGAGTGCGCTCGCGTGCGTTTGCCTCAATCCTGCGCTCGCGTGTCATATTTTTATAGTTCCTTTGCTGCGGCCTTAATAGGGACCCACTGTGCTGATCTTTGCATATATCATAAATGTTTTGTTCAAGGGGTGCTTCGCTGCAAGTTTTAGATGCATTTTTGGGTGTTATAGTACCCTTGGTATCCTGGAGGCTGGAGTGCAACTGCAGTGCAACGGTTTCATCGTTATGGTATTGCGGCTTCTTTGCTACCAACGCCAACGGTTCTTGCTGTTCCGGCTCCGCTGTCAATGCGATTGCGCGATGTAGCGTTGTGACGCCTGGATGCCGCACGAAAATTTGCGCAGGATTTGACATTATTTCACATGGCAACAATTGACTAGGATCCCAAACTGACGCAGAGAGTAACTTCAGGTTGGTAATGTTTGGTGGGGACAGAAGAGCTGGTGGGGTCAACATCACCGCCGAGTCAGCCGAAGATGTATACCTTATTCGCTTTTTAAGCGGACCCGCCGCTGCGCCGTATGACCTAGTAGCTGCTGGGGAAAAGTGATTCGATGTCAAAGTAGGTTCTACGACTTTTGATGGTTCCATGCTCTTTCGTTTATTGCGGACCAGCACAACTGATTGTTCTTTGAGTGCGCCATAGTCTTCCGTCAGTCCTATATTGGGACTAGCGCTACGTGCATGCTCTAACGTCAAGTCATCGCCGCCTTCGCTTTCCGAACTTGCAGAACAAAAGCCCGCGTCTCGATCGTTGGAATTAGGAGAATCTAAAAGTATTCAATCAAAAGAAATTTCAAGTCTTAGTCAATATAAAAAGTTATTTTGAATTAATAATTTTGTAAATGGAAATAATTATAATTATTGTAATTTTCGATTCACAGTCTGGATAATTTTCACTGCTTAACTTTGTGTGTCAAATCTTTTAAATTTATTAGTCGAGCCTTCTCGACTAAAGCTCCTTGATTTATATGTTTAATATACATGTATTCCTTTATAAAAATATTGTCCGCCTGCAGATGTGCTCCTTTGGAAGTTCCAAAAACTGCCAACAAGTAAAAAATATATACAGCTCAAAAATGTAAATTCAAGTTTATCATCGCAATCGCAAAAATAAAACCAGTTTTCAGCAGTTCGATCGCTCTATCTACCATTGACCTCCACAATGTATTGAAAACACGCTTCAGCACACTTCGCTGCGTGTCTGGGAAGTTTGGAGGAAAAATGCAGTTCAAGTTCGGATGCAACCACGTCGGTAATGCTATTTGTGAAAAGCATAGGATAACTTAATAACGTACGCACAAGTATTTAAAATGTTGAGATTTACTTGCATGGCGCTTCTTAGAAATGAACTCTAAAAATTAGCGAAATTTGGAACGTCCATGGACTCCATTAAGTAATCAAATTACTTAACTGCTTGGATTCCTTAGTCGCCCACTTACACACCCATAGTTAAACACCGTTTATCTTAAAAAGACCAACACGACGAGACGCATGTGACTTTTCATGTTGACACAACTATTTATACTTTTGCTATCTTTTCTAATTTTAGACCAGAAAACGGCAAGGCGAAATTTAAGCAACTGCAAAGACGGGCTGTACAAATAATAGTAGTTAGATAAATATTTAGCATAGTATATGACCGAACGCAAATACACGAGCAGTTTTGCTGTCAAACTACATCAATAATTCACAATACTACAACATACATGTACATATAAATGTTTATCCGAAAGTATAAGCCTAGCTAAAAATACAAATTCGGTGAATAGACTAATTGCTTTTAAATGTAATTAGGTTTGGTAAATATGGTGATGTAGTTTTTTTGACTCTCAATATTTTCGCTTCAAAGGGTTACGTCAAACTTAAGAATTGTTTTATATGAATCCGTTCCGCTAAAAACCATAAGCCACATCGTGCCACTTTTGAAATAAACCTTTAAACAGTTTAGATATAACTCGCCTTTTCTTCCAAGAATAAATAATGCCCAAGTGAAACATATTTAAAAAAGACACATTTAAATTATATGAGACTGCTAATAGCTCTGTACTCATACTGAAAGTCATGCAAAGGTTATCAGACAGAGTCTGCCTGCTTATTGTATTGCTGTTAGATGGCCTGTGTGGGAAGCCTGTGCTTATCACCATAAGTCTAAGCGCCAAGTATAGGCGCATTAGACGATGATCTTGTGTTTGCAGTAGTAATATGACGAGTCATTTTTATGAATGAATCGAAATAACTAAATATATACGCTATGTCTTTGTGTCAATGCTAAACCAAGCAGACAGTTGCACACGTTTATTAAAGTCTCTATGAAAACTAACGAAAAAGTACTGTACGAGTATAATTGTTTAAGTTAACGCTTGCATTACAAACATATCTTGGAGCTAAACTTGGTTGTTAGTTTGCGAATCACCGCTTAGTGCTAAACATACACAATTTTTGCGGTTCCCCAAATCTCACCAGACGATATATGATTTCCAGCTTCAATGCTGTTCAATGACTTTAAGCAGCAATTTTTAGCCATTTCAGCTTACACAAGCATTGACTACCAAACCCTAACTACTGAACAACACATCGGGCCATGAAAAATAAAACAAAATCCACCATATGGCGCCAAACACAGCAACAAATTTTGATGTCCGACACAAAAAAAAAAAAAAAAAACGGTGCACACCAACTGCTCGAATGGACCCCACAGTGTCACAGTGACTTCTAGGGATTCAAAATAAATATGTTGCTAAGAAATACTGCTAGTACTGCTAGCCGAGTCATATTAATTGCTTAAACTATTTGAAATGTATCTAAGGGGCTGCTCTAGCTGCACCATAGTGACGCGTCACGACCCCATTCTGTCGCTTCGCAATCAGCGACTGGTTGACCAAAAAGGGTGGTGGCAAGCAGCTGAATCCCAAAAACTAAATGTGATTGCCAAACGGCGCCGTCTTTGGCTGGCGCCACTGGTTACAGTGATGCTCGTCCGACTCTTACTGGTAAACAATGTCAAACGAAAATATGAAAACGGCACAGTGAGTCCGATTTATTTCCATTACTGGAATTGATAAAAAATAAAAACGAATGCCTTAAATTAAGTCGATACTAGACAGCTTCTTTAGTCGGTGGGCTTAGGTACAAACGTGTCGTTGATACAGAAATGTAATTCGTCGTATTCGAAATTAAAAAACCAACATATAGAAGTAGTTATTTGTTTGCGTGTAAATATGTTGACCTTAGTTTTTAACAACTTATTTAAATTAGGTAGCATTTCATAACTCAATGCAAATTCAAGAAATTGTAATATATATTAAGAGTGATATATAAAAAAAAATCAGAATTCAATTTTGTATTGCTGCTGAGCCCACAGTTTACACGCAATCATGCTGTAATTGTGCTCAGACTATTTCTGGTCAACAGCTTTTATTTACAGCTGGTACCCAGATACATATTTAGCAACCGTTTACCAAATGGTTGTTTTCCTTCTTAAATGTTTTTATTTTACTTATACTGCTTCAGCCACAGTAGAAATCATAATTTGGCAGCTGTTTTTTGCTTTACTTACGTATTACCTATTCAAACCACATATTGTTTGTCAATGTTGTTTTTATCAAAATGTTTAAAATATTGCTTTCTATAAAGATAGCTAATATAAAACATTTAAAAGGAAGGGGCGGAGTCAGCTTAGAACGCAGCTCTAGTGGTTTTTCATATGTTCCCAGTAGCAAAAGAAAGTATCTATTCCAAATCATATGTAGCTTCGAAGCTGAATATTGACTCAATGTCTTACTGACACCGACACCAAATATATATGTGTTTATATGAACTTATAGGTCGAATATTCTTAAGGCAATTTGAATATGACATCAGGTGACATTGTTAAACTATATTCTGACCATATATGGTATATATATATAAATATCTTACCTTTCTTTATAATGGCTTCTAGTTCCGATGAATTTAATTGCATGTAGAGGTGGTCTGTTTTGACGACTTCCATAATTGAAATAAGCGAATTTCGCAATATCTATTTAAGTAAAACGCGTAATCCACAGTGCGGTTTAGAAAATTTCCTTTTTGTTGTAAATAATTTGCTTTTGTTTTGCGGTAACAGTAACTTCACTGAAACTGATAAGATATCGATACCACGTTAAAGATATCTAATATTTATGAATGTAGCCTCTGGGCCCGAAATCATTCTATGTTAAAAATATATCGCACTGAAAATTTCCTGTTTACGTAGAATTATAAATGTTAGTGTTTTTTTTTTTAATTTTCACAAGAATTGAACATTTTAGTGATTTTACACGTATTTAAATTTGTTCACACTTTGTTCCGCGATCTTTCAGAACACGTCCGACAGGCAGCAGCACAGCACGTCTATTAACGATGAGAATTGCTTTCGTTTTGAGAGGACCAAACACGTTCGCTTCATGCTAAATGCAACACGCGGTCGAACCGGTTGTATTGTGATTAGAGATGAGCGCGTGCAAAACTTGTCCATAAGGCTTGTACTATATACACATATAGATTGTTTGCGATATTTCTGTTTATGATTCGCTGGTTAGATATAGATTTCAATTTAATTTTATTGCTGTTTTGATATCTCAGTGCTCCAATAATCTTGCTATCTGAATTAAATGCTAGGCGATTTTCATTAAAAGTAAATTCACTTCATTTTTGTCTTTGGCCTTTTATTAATGTTTCGCTATATTTTTTGTAATTAACTAAACAAGTTGTCAAAAATAAAAATACAAAGAAATAAATTCATAGAATATATTTAAAGTTCAGAAAACTGTAATATCTAATTTGCATTAGAAAAGTAATGACATTGATTTAATTGTGTATTTTTGGTATACGCATGCAGATTTATTTCAGCTATAATATAATAACGGGGTATACAAATTTAAGAATTTACTTAATTTCTTAAATCAAAATGTATTAGTTCGAGTGTGACAGAAAAAAGAGCGTAACACAAGAGATTCAATTAAAAATTTCAATATATTCCGTGAGTCTATCGAACCGTCGAGCATGCTCGATGCGACGCGTTGCGAACCCATTTCATTGACTTTATGAATGAAACTAAAACTGCTAAAATATCTGTTGCTGCATGAAGGTTTAATGTGTATGACAAATTTGTAATAATGACAGGTGGCTTTGGTAGTCCATACATACCATAAGCTACAATACTTATAACATAATTTCTAAACTACACCAATATTATTATTTTATTGAGTTTATTTAATAAAAGTTGAAGTATACGGAAATTGTGGTAAATGCTAAAAATAATATTGGTACATATAAATTTTGAGTTGTTCAGTCTCACTTAAACTTTAATAATACTGTAGAATTGCCTTAGGGACGTACACAAATACGGTAACACAATCATAAAACCGCAGTCAAGTATGTTCGAAGAGCTTACTTGAATGTTAATATCGCCCCTTAGCGATCAGAAGAATTTTACTATTCATATACTATATGTTCGCAAATTGTAATAGCATACATATGTAAGTTCTCCGAGTATTTGAAAAGAGATGTGAGATTGTTGTGGCGCCAGTTGTGTCATATTTTCAACTGACTTTTGTAGTTGCAGCATCTGCAGTTCTATACGCTTATAACGAAGGCACTTTGCAATTGGGAGTGGGACATGCATAAATGCATATATACATGCATACACATATACACTAATACATACATAAGGCACAACTGGCATAACGTCTGGCTTCTGGCCTCGCTCTGGTCGGTTGCTGATGATGATGATGCCACATGCAAACGAGTTGTTGCTGCAACAGCTTTTGCTTCAGTTCTCCGGTTGTCATCGTGGTTTGCGTTGTTGTTTTCTGGTGGTACAACGTAAGTGAAATGAATTCTGTATGCAATAGGCGGTATTCTTTAAACAGATTGAATTGTGCGGATTTCTGCGGCCTCAGCTTCGCCGCCTTAGTCCGAACCAAAAGACAACTCGATCGACCGACCGACCGTTGCAATAATGCGGGTACATTGTGTGCTTAGTGTGAAGTGAATTATAATGACTCAGTGGTACAGATGCTCCGACTATAGATTCTGCCTCTTGAAAATCCAGTCAGTTTTAACGCCGCCTTGTGGAATTCCACACAATTGGTCATTTCCCTACTTATGTACAGCAGTTTTGAAACATTGCCACACAGCCAGAGTCTGTAACAACAGTCGCTTGGACATCCGTGTGCTGTTTACATAAATCTCAAGCGCTAGCAACGGCGGCTTGGCTCTTAATTTTATCATGATGCATGTGAAAGCGTTTGCCATTCGAAGTGAAGTGTGGTCGCGAAGTTGAGGATGCCTCACACAACCAGCCAGAGGCTGTCTGCGTGCTAAAGCCTATGATTGCCTTTTGCGTTGGCGGCGAGGAGACAGTACTGTTACACGGAGCAGGGCCACACGGACGGCTATTCAGCGGAGATGAGAGTGAGGTTTATGCTGTCATTGTCAGCGATCCCGGGATGCTGTTTCATTTTCCCTTTTATTCATCACCTAACACACGCAGTTGGAGGCAACCGCGTCATATCCTAAGCTGATAGGATGATAGTGCGGTGGTGATGAAAACTCCGCGGTGGGTATTGGCGTCATCAACCGCGCTTCAAAAATGATCCATATGTTTCGCTTTCAAAAAAGAACAAGTGATATAGTCGAGATTTGTGAAATGCAAAATTGCTTTGTGCCGAGCAGTAGTGTAGTAGTGCAGGAATAGTAGAATTTCGAAAAAGAATAATAAGTTTTTAAATCACTAGCAGACTAGACTATAAGTTAAGAAACTAAAACCGATATTCAACTTCTTAAAATCCAACTTTCCTTGTTTCTATATTCTTGTTCTACTTTCTTTTGAAACAACTTTTACCAGCTTCAAGCGGATATGTCTTTTTTAAATGTAAATTTTTTTTTCTACTCATATTTTTTTACAAAGGGTACCAAAGCGAAATTTAAAGAGAAAAAGACAAGACTTAAAGTCTGGGAGCAGAAGGCTAACAACAATTTCTTGGAAAATGTTTATTTTTCGCATGATTTTGAGGAGCTCAAACCTAACAAGCCATCGAGATACATAACTATAGAGAAGAGCCATTAATATTGTTAGGGCTCCTTCTGGTTACTAGTCCCATCGGCCAACATCTGAGCAGCGCCGCAAACCCATTCTTTCCAATCAGTTCATGGCAGATGTACAATGTGCGCGAGATTCTCTGTGTAGCACTGAAGAACTTTTATATGGTCACTTTTGCATTCATACCCTATACCCAAAATTAGTATTAGCTATACATGCAGAACAAATATACTTATTTCTCATATGAATCCACATAAAAATGTAGTTGAAGTATAATGAACAAACAATAATATATATTTCAATACCTTATCCATAGGTCAGCTGGTAGTCAGCAATCCAGCCTTGAACTCTTATGTGGCCCTTACGGCGTTGTGCAAAAGTATGCAAGATTCGCTGCAAGCTAACCTGTTTACCTGTTGCTTTACTTCAGACGCCACAGAAGACGCAACCCGCACAACTGTTAAAAATGTGGGCGCGGCGCAGCTTTTTAACTTATTTCTTTTGTCAAGCTGCAAGTTCAAGGATATATCATGGCTGTCTTCCAAAAGTTTATTTGTGTAATTCGATCATCTGTTTTAAAAACTCAATAGTTTCTTTTTAAACCCAGCTAGAATTACCAAAATTTTAATTTGTTATAACAAGCTCTTAACTGTTAAAGTTGAAATTTTTCTTGTGTAGAAAGATCAGCAATTTACTGACTTATTTATTGCAAACTGTGTTGCAAATATTATATCGCAGTTACTATGAACTGGTTGGGGCTTAATATACTAAAGAACAACCGTGGCAGTTTTACGCTTGTACAGTTTGACTTTTGACTATTTTCTCAACTGGTATGTCACTGTTGTATATATAAACAAATCAGTATACAAACAGCTGACTACCTGGTTCGCGCCAGACATGCGCCAGCCACGGTCGTCACTTATATTGTTTTGGCCCGGTCTCAAACGCTAATTGTTTTTAGTCTGCTCGACATAATTGCCGACAATTGCTAGACTGTTTGAAAGTCAAACGGGGCGATTGATATTTTCCGGGTTTTACCCGGTCATGAAACTTAGAATCCAGGTAGCAGTGACTTCTTAGAATTTCCATAATTAATTTGCACTTGTTTTTTCCTTTTGCTATTCTTTATTGTGCACCTAATGACTTTTGCACACCATATTGCGAAATGATTATAGCTTTTAGTTTGGGACCTCAATAATGCTTATTAATGATGCTGCATTACGGAACGAACGTTTATTTGTTTTCAAAAATTTGATTGTGCCAAATTCAAATGAGTTATAAAGCTCATATACAAAAATTAAATTCAGAGTGCGTGTGAACACAAAATTAGGTCCTGCAATTTTTTTTATATCTAAGAGGGCTCTCACGGAGCAGTAAGTAAAAGATAAATTTATATCGATGTGAGTATAGTACACGAAAGCCCGCATATCAAATGTACTATATTCACATAGCTCTTAAATATTCCTAAGTCTCTCCCATTTTTTTTTTTAGATGCAAGTTTTCCTTCCGTTTACAATATTCTCAAGTCTAATTTTGAAAATTCATTTCTCAAGCTCTTGCAATAAGTACTTCTTTTTATGTTAATGAGCTTAAGAGGTAGACATAACTTTTAAGAACTGCTTGATAATATAACCAAATTGCCACTCTAAAATAGCAAAGTAAGGAAGCGAGTTGTTGATGATGCGAAATGCAAAAGAAGGAGGTGTGCTATAATCACATGTTTGTCGGCAAGGTTATTCCTGAACGTGGGTGTATATTCAAGCGCCAACTAAATATGCACATACTTTCATTCGTTCTCGTAATAATCACATGCATACGCATGTGACGTCACTGGGAGTAATATGTGTTATGTGAAACAAAAAACTCAGCCACGGCCTGGCAACCGACCGGGTCACGTGTCATATCAGGATTCAGAACCATCCCCAATTTTGGACAAGTGCCATGTGTATGAGCTTCAACACGCTAGCGATGTGTTGATTTAAATTAGATGAGTTGAATGCTTTGATTTTATTGGCATTGTCGGTAAATGTATGTAATGTATGTAAATATATTGTTAAAAAATTACTGCATTCAATGCACTATTTTGGTCTTGGTCTTGGATTGCTAGGACAGCCATTTAACAACGGTCTGTTCAATATACAAACACGACTGACAGATCAAAAAGTTTAATATTATTTATGAATTCTCTCCTTTATAAGATAGAAAAATAAAAATTTAATATATATTTAAATATACATATATATATATATATATATATATATATA